TTATCTTTAAAATACAGTTGAATTATCAAGGGAAAAGAAAAATGCTGTATTTTGAGTAGGCGGGGGGCTCTAAATAACCGATATTTATTGAATGAAAAGGTACCCACAGGGATAAAAGATCTGAGTTTGAAATAGCGGAGAGACTGAGAGTTCGATGTTCAACTGTAATGTTTTCATCTGATTATGAAAGGAACTTGACGATGAGGATATAACAAAGTGCTTGCTCAACAACCGTAAGGTTGTCGTTAATATCAAACTAGAAAAGTGCTCAAATAATAATTCAAAGTGTTCTGGGAATTTAAATGGGACGGAACCATTTTTTTACGGTACAGAGCTTGCAAAGACTTCTCAGGAAGCTGAAGGAAAGATCACGCCCTGAGAGAAATCCTGTTCAAGAAAAAGAAAGATCTTGTTCAAACCTCTGGACAGTCTTCTACTCTTTTGTTAACAAAATTGCAAGTGATTCAGAAAATTATTTTGGTTTTATACTCTTTATTGACAACAGCCTCCAGCATGGCTCTTATCATCTTTACAATGACGTCACCGGACTCGAACCAGTCTCCGTAATTCCAAACTCAAATTGCTATGACATTCACTACAACAATTAAACAGCAGTTGATTAACCTATTGTAATTAATATATCTTTTGGCTAACAGCTTGTACCAAATAAAACAGAGGAAAAAAATTGGGGATCGAACTGGGAAATCAATAAGAATATGAAACTATACCTTGATTTGCTTCAAATTTGGACATGTTACAGTTAAATACTTGATAACATAGCAACGGTTGTTAAGCAGTTTAAACGCCTTTGAAATGTGCATTAAGGCGATAAATGTAAGGGGTAAATGTCTTGTGCTTTAGGGCTATCGTGCTCATGTTTTGTACTAGTTGATACATCATCTTAAATTTCTGGATGGTGAAAATGCGTTCTATCACTGATATATGCGCAAAACTAGCTCAGTTTTAATCTGAATCTTCTATACCTCGCAAAACTTTGCAATGTAGTGCCTGAAACTATTGTTTTCCTAGCCACTATTAGTGTCGTAAGCTGCGATGGCCGAGTGGTTAAGGCGTTGGACTTGAAATCCAATGGGGTCTCCTCACGCAGGTTCGAATCCTGCTCGCAGCGTCATCTCCTTTTTTTCGCAAATTTTTTCGAAAGTTATAATCTTTACTATGTACGTGGAATCGAGTAAATACTATAAGAAACAGTAACGGATGCCAGATGTTTTTTTCTCCCAAATATCGGCATTAACAGTTCGAAGAAAACTTTGACGGTAAAATTATACTACACTCTGTCACTGACCAGAAAGGTGGAAGTCAGTTAGAGAAAGTCATAGCTTCTCTGTGAGGTCTTTCCCAGGAGTATAAGAATTAAACGCAAATAAATTCGTTGGCATTTCGAGAGAATTTGTTTTACGTTTTGGCTATGCTTTCTATCTTAAATAAAACGTCAAGTGTTTCCCACCGTAACTCTTCCGATATGTTATCCATAGCTTCTTCCGTCCTATCGGTCTTTTTCAGCACGCTTCTCCTCCGTGTTTCATAGTAGTTCTCTTTTGCGTTATTCGCGCTCTTCTTTAATTTTTGCTCCTTCAATTAGATATCACTGATAGTACGTTTTGACCTATTATTCTCTCTCAGATGCCATATTTGTTTCATTTCTGTCTAGATAAGTTTTTTTTCTGTTTTTATTCTGCAGTACAGGTATAGGTTATAAATAAACTTAAGTAGCTTTCCTGTCTTTGCAGATTAATACGGGGTGCCTCGTTGGGAATAGGAGTCAAATTGGCCATTTTCGTATATTCTCGGTATTGGACTGGAACTAGCTTGCAATGGAGGCTCATGCGGGGGAATATCATTAAAAAGAGATAAATAATTTGCATTTTAAAAGCGCGCTGCATTAGCCTCAATTGCAAGCTAGTTCCAGTCCAATACCGAGAACACGAAAATGGTCCATTGCCCACCCCGGCGTGTCATAGACCCTGTTCATTAATGGCTGCCAATTTAAATTTTGAATTGTTAACTCAAAAAGAGATTAGTCAGGCATATTTTAATTAAAGAATTCATCTATAAAAAGGGTCTATGGCATAGGTTACATGGTAGTATAAAGTTATTTCTATTTACCGAGGGCGTAGCCCGAGGGATTCCTACAAGGTGAAAGTAGTTGAATAACATGCTTGTTTCTCACTTGGGTGACGTCTTCTCTCAAGGGAAACGTTCCATGCTTGTGGCCAGAAGTGTAGCAGCTCTTGTAAGCTTGTAGTTCTTTTCATTCTTCATTGTTAGCAGCTGTTATTGTTTTAGGGCTAGGGGCATTGTTTCTGTTCAGTTTGTTCTATTGTTCTCTCAAAGGGTAGCAAGCCATTCGTGTGAGACGTTACGAGAGCTGCTACATCACCCCTTGTGGCGGTTGTATGTTTTTAGACTGACACGGATAGTTTTAAAAGGTGGCAAATTTTGTCTATAACTAAATATGTGTTGATTATCCTTGTCAGTGGAAAGCATGTTGTTATACCTCCCAACTCAAATACGTTCTCCGATTGGAGGAGAACGTATCACGTGTCGTGGGTCAAAACTCACTAACTCTCTAGGGTGAAAAAACCTCACTAACTCCCTAGGGAAACAACAACTTGCACTTTCGACTCGCACGTGACCAGGTCGTACTCCTTGAAACCGCTGCAAATTTGTGAGCCAGCCGGCGTCAGGCAAACGATTTCTTCGCAGTTTTTTTTATACTTTTGTGTTGGGAAGTAAACAAAACACTTAATGACTGGCCACGCGGCTTCGCCTCGGGAAACATTGAGGGCCTCGGGGAAACAAAACTCACTGTTTCCCTTGGGAACAGTCATTAAGTGCTTATTGTCCTTCGTAGCAGATAGCAGCCCGATCAGTCTTGTATTACTACAGCAGTTGGAGGCAGTGAATAAACACCTATCGAGGTATTCCTTTTGGAGGGAAATTTCCAACTTGGAGAATGAAAGGTGAAATTGTAAAACGACACGAAAGTGTTGTAAGTCAGTTACCTTTGTTTGCAGCACGAAAACCGATGATGGCGGATGAAATATGTTACATGTTCTCTACCCGCATTATTTGTACCAATTTGTCGGCGGGATATGTTTAGGAATATGATGTGGGGATGTTTTAGAGGAACATGACGACGGAATACGTAACCCATTTTCCTCGTTGTTTTCAGCTGTTGTTTTTAATTCAGTTCCGCTCTGCAATCCCCAACTTTATAGACCTACGATAAGCGACGATACGGAATACATTCAACTGAAATAAACATAGGCAACCGAAAAATGTGACAATAAGCTAGGTTTATTCCGGTATTGCTCATGGTTTCTTATGGTTCCGCTGTTGGCTAGATTTAAGTATTACCCCATACATTTATTATGCATTCCTTTCTTTGTTTAGCTAAACAATAGCCGAGACAATAGAATCCCTTTGAGACTTACGCGCTTTGAATGACTATAAAACTTTTCATTTTTTTTCAAAGTAATCGAACCGAAGAGCACTGGAAATTAGTCACGTGACAAAAAAAGTCATTTTGCCATCCGCCATCTTTCTTTAACATCTTGGTTGTGACTGTTGGAAGCAGTGGCGATTTCTAGCTGGAATTTTACTGAATTCGGGTCAGGATTAACTCTTGACTGTAAGTGGAGGATACGTTTTTGGGGTGAGTGTTTTTGTTTTTTGATATTAAAGTAAATTAATATAAATTTGAGCTCCTCGTCCAACTGATCAAGACTGATTGTGGAACTACAAATTATAAAATAGACATAAAGTTGTTTTTATCAGGTGGAATCTAAGTCAGTGGTATTCACTTCCTTATTGGTCGTGAGTTATTGGCTGTTTTATTATAGGATGAGGTGTGGAATGAATTAACGGAAGATTAATTCAGTGCTTAGAGAGCAGGCCGTCTAGCAAATACGCTTTATTCTTTTTAATTTATGAGATGCAAATAAGAAAAAGCGCCTGACCAAGTAACGATGCCGGGAGTTCGACGAAAAACGGCAAACCTGAAAATTCCGGTTCGACGTAAGGCGGTTAACACGCCCGGCCCCCAGCGATTGAGGCGAGAATCACGGAAGGAATTTGACGGAGCTCTCTTGGCGACTACCCACCCGCGTAGGTATTTCCAGTGCGCTAAAGACCAGCAACGTAAAAGGGTGCACTCAGCCTCACCCACGAGGCTGAGTACTTGGGCGTACCCATGAAGCTGAGTATGCATACTTGCAACTCCCAGGAACAAAGCTGGAATGTCTCAGCTCTTTAGATCATCGTAAAAGAATCCCCTGACGTCAGTGCATTTTATACACGCTTGACATCATCATCAGCTCTTATTGCCCCCATTGGGGCATGGGGCCGCACATGCTTGACATACCAAGCGTTAAATTTACCGACGGTCGATTAATCAGCAGTTGCGTGTTTGTTTGTTTATTTATTTATTTTTTTTGCTATGTGCAATTCAATGTTCATTATCTTTTGTAGTGAAACCTTTCTGAGTATGAGAAGAGATGAAACGCTCGGAGCGTCATACCAGGAACGTCCGCTACAGTGCAGTAAAATTGTGTTCTCCGATACATTGTTTTTTTTTTGCAGGAGTATCAGTTGCTTTTGGGTCAACTGGGGTTAGAGATAATATACGTCTAACCTACTAATGAGGATCGCCAGTGAAAATAATATAAAACCTCTTATCACCAGCGGCGAGATAAAATCTGAAAAGAAAATTAGTCCATTATAATTTTGAAATTCAATTAGCGCTATCAAACATGAGTACATTAACACCAATCATTGTCAGTCTGCTTGAGTCCTTTGGAATTCATTACTACGTAATAGTGTCCTTGAGTCGCAAGATAAATACACATTGTATTAGTATTGACTGTTCAGCGGAGATAGCATTACGTCACGTACAGCGTAAAAGGTGCTCTGTTATCTGATCAAAAACTAAAACGCTGCCGTCAAAATTACTCAGCAATATTCAAACTTTACGATATTCAAACCCTTGGCACATCAATCGACTTTCCCTTGTGGCGAAATGTATTCCTTATCTCTTTTTTGATGTCACGTTTAAACAAGGCATACGCGATCGGGTTCGCTGCAGAGTTTGTTACAACAAGGAAATACACTACTCTGACGAGATCATCTGTAGCTTCGCACACCTTGGTAAAGTAACATAAAGAGCTGTACACCTCGAGCGCATAACAGGCAATGAAAATGGCCACCACTGTTGCGATAACCCGCGCTGACGAGACTGTTCTGTGACCTTTGTGATATGGTGCGTTGTAACGCAGTTGAGAATCCAACTTCGCAAAGTGTCGACAATGTTTCCTTGCCGTTCTTATGATTTTCACAGTGAGGAGCAGTAACAAGACACAGGGAATGAATTCAAACATGGATGTCCAGATGACAACGGTAATGTTGAAGTTTATGCTGCATCCATGGAGACTCGTGCAGAACGCAGGAACGAAATACGTGACGAAGGGCACAAACCACGAGAATGCTATCAAACACTCAGCCCGCTTTCTTGTCATCAAGGTTGTGTAGGTGAGTGGCCTTACGATGGCTAAATAGCGGTCGACGGTCATTGCGCAAAGACTGGTAGTCGAGGAATAGATCATCAGTACTGCAATGTCATCTGCGATTCCGCGATTGCAGTTTGACTGTTGTAAATTGCATATGAAATGCGCGGGGAAAAAACAAGCTCCAACGCCAAAATCGGCCAATGTCAGTGACAACACGAAGCGGTTTGGATTAGTTTTCAGTCTCCGCCTTGTACATATAAGATAAATCACGAAACCATTTCCCAAGATGGCTAGGGTTGATGGAATCCACCCGAGAATCCAGTACCAATGCATCTTAAATGGTTCTTAATTATTGTACTACAAATATCAAACTGAAGCAGGTTTTACCCAACACAGAGTTAAATTGTATCGTATATAGATCACACGGGCGTAGGCATCGGAATTGACCTCCACTCGAGAGCAATTCTGTCATCGCTTTGTTTGTTATCATCTGTTGACAGATGTATTAGCTCTTATAAAGCAATACAAACGTAATTTCCTATCAATACTTGAGGCAAACAACCATTACAATGCTGAAATGACGGAGATTATTCTCATGATTTGCATGTTCTACAGTGAGAGATATTGGCAACCTTCACTATTGAAAAATAGTAACTTTTTGTGTCCTGGAGGACATGAACATATATTCTGTCATTTTTCATTTGCATTTTTCTTATCTTTTTTCAGTCAAGTACATTATATATGCATAAGAACTTTTTTAGCAGTTTTAGTACAGGTACATTAACATAAGTACAAATTGACCATTGATGTTGTTAAAGAAACGTTTTTGTACATGTCTTGGGAGACTGCCTTCAACAACAAGTAGCAAAGCCATAGAGTGCGGCGTGATGCATGTCATGGCTTATCCTACTAATCTTAATCCTGCCAGTATTAAAAAAATTACTGAAGTGACCTTTTCTTGTTAAGCAGACACTAAAAAAAGCTTTCTGGGTAATGAAAGCCGTCCTTAATTAGTCCCTTAGTTAGGCGGTTAACCACCGACTGGTTAATTTAGTTAGTAGAGCGCCAGTCTGTTGTGCGGGAGGCCGAGGGACGGCGAGGGTTCGAGCTCCAGACCGGACCAACACACAGGGTCTTAAAATAACTGAGGAGAATGTGCTACCTTTGTAGTTATATCTGTAAACGGTTAGGCGTTCAAGTCTTCTCGGATAAAGACTATAAATCGCAGGCCCCGTCTCTCGCATCTTCAGTGTTACATGGTTAACAGGAGACGTGAAAGAACCCACACGCTTATCGCAAAGAATAGGGCGCGGAGTTCCCGGTGTTGTGGTGTGGCCTTGTCTCACACGTTGGTGCCTCACATAAGGTTAACCTCATTGCGCCTTTCCCCCTTGTACAGAATTGTCCAAGAAAAATGGCTGTCATGTCGTGACAAATTGGTCCTGAGGTGTTAGCAATGATTTAAATCAAACTAAAGTAAATCTCTGGAATTTTTAGCGTGAAAAAAACAAAACAAAAACAAACAAACAAACAAACAAACAAAAACAAAAACAGAAACAAACAAGAGCGGTCGTGAATAACATGTCTCTCTTTTGCAAAAAACTATCAGAAGAAATGATATACTCGAAAAAAATGCCTGTTATCACAGTTTTTGCCCGGAGTTATTGGAGGTCTGACATACAAACGAGGCAACGAGGTCAATGGCCGAAATTATGCTAGACGGACGAATCATCCGTGTCTGGCGGATTGTATTAATTTCTAACTGTAATTGAAATAACGTGTGTATAGGGTGTATATGTATCTCGTTCCTCACACTTAAATACAACATCTACATAATTCATATGGGTGCTGCTTTCGCTGAGCTCTGTTTGCTGGGTAAAAAAACTCAACACTCCCAACGCTTTGCATTGACCCTTACGTCTCGATTATTATATTGTTTGAAGAGTACTTCACCGCAGCTATTAGGAAACAGACAGGCTCAAACCTTTCATCACCTTAAAGTAAAACTTTAACTGTGTTTCACCACTCATTAGAAACAGACGTGAACTGCCAAGCAAAATTATCTTATTACATTATGTCATTTATTAATATCAACAACTACATTTAAACAAGCTCAAACGAAACAAGCCTCGAAATTCTAAACTATTAATATCTCTGATGAACGATGTCTTAAAGGACTAAAAACCAGAAGTTTTCGGTAAAAACAAAAAACAAAAAAACAAAAAAACATGGCATATTCACATCGGCTAACGTGTTTATATTTTTGTCGCCACCCAATTCAGATCATGCATGTGATGATTGATCTGGGAGGGTACAATTCGTGCAATCAGTTGCGTGTGAGCGGCCTGACAAATTGCATAATTGTAACCTCTCAAATAAATCATCACATGTTCTGAATTGGATGTTAACAAGGATGTAAACACGTAAGCCGAATCCGTCTATTTGCTTGGTCCTGAGATATGGCCGATAGGTAATTATTTACCACCTGAACAATATAACTCTTTCTTCCTTTCGCCCATATTTTGGCGTAATTTTTTTATTGTATTTATCTTCGTCAGCTAGACTGTTTAAAACTTACAAAAGGTATGGATTGGGAATTAAATTACGTTTAGCCATTCACATTATTGCTGAAATACTGTTGTTATCATTTTTCAGACACATGTCTTCTGAAAGCCACTTAACGTTTTCGCATCAATTCAGTGGTTCTTTTATGAAAAGAAAACGCCATATTTGTTGACATTTTCAAACTGGGATCAATGTTGATTCACTTCCGACCCAATGTAGTCACAAGAAGTCAACGCTAATCATTACTCATTCTGTCCCAGGAAAATGACCGGTTCTTAATCCGGCTACAATGGAGAATTGAAAGTCTCAACTAAGCTACAAAATTTTCGTATACATGTGAATTGCAGCTTTTACTGATCGAAAGACAGGGAAACTTGAAAGCCACTCAGTATGTGTGTAATAAGTGTTTAATCTATTGCAGTTGTTATGTCAACTATAAAAATTGAACCGTTTATATGGTTGAATTTAGAACACGATATCTTGAAAATAGAAAATTGCGTTTTTAATGACAAATTAATTTTGTATTCTACGACCGCAAGGGTATTAAGTTTATTCAAATTTATGACCGCTTCCACGGACCTGCTCAGCCAGAAGCAGACACTAGCGCTGTTATAGTAGAAAGTGAGATGTTCCGTACTTAGCAATAATTGTATTTGGTCTTGAAATCACTTTGTTTTGCTTCCAATATTGATTTTGCAGGGAAAACCAATGTAATAATTTATGGTAATGGCCAATTATTTTTACTCAACTCACAACGAACATACATATATACAACTGTAGCTAAACAGAAAAATCCCTGGTATCTAGTAGTCACGAATTTTTATTTACAATGAAGCATTCTAGAAAGCTGTCTTTTGGGGGTAGAGAGCAGAAGGGGTGGAAGAAATGGACTGACCACAAAGTAAGGCGACCTTGAGCACGAAACGACCCTTTAAATAACCTGGCGGTTTTTGACAGGTCTACCAAATCATTGCAGCCATTAGACTTCTTGCTTGAGTTGCCTTGCAATTAAGGAAAATTATCTGTCGCCAAGGTTCTATAATTAGCTATACCAATGAAACACAAATAATACAGCTATCATTTTCTACCTCGCTTTTCCAAATTTTCGTCGGTCCTAAGTGGATGCAAGGTGCGATCTATCTTAATCGCACATGTTTCTACATAAGTTAAGAAAAAAAAAGGATGTGATATAAAATATTTCTGCCTGATATATTCCTTGAAAACAAATTTTCTGCCTGCTACTTGGGGACCAACTTACACTTCTGAAAAGGGACAGCCATTCATTAGTAAGGATAATTGTTCTGCCTGGATTATTTTTACAGCTGCTACTGGTAGTTTTCAATCGTTCATTTATAAATGCTAATTTTCGTTATTCGGTAAACAAACCAAACAATTTCAAGGAAACTTTTGTTTTTTCTTTCGAATTCCTATTCTATGGCAGATCTAATAGCTATCTTAAGTCTAGTCCGTATACTGTAGCTTTCATAGCCATAGTAATTTCACATTTTGTGGTCTATTTGATATGCTAAGGTAAATATTTCGCCATTAAACTGTCAAAAGGGAGAGTTCTCAGGCTTCTCCAGCATTAAATGATCAAATACTGAAACGTTTTAATTTGAGATCATCGCCATATATTGCAATTTGTCCCTAGCTGCAACTTGGCTCTGTATTTTGAAACAATTTGGGAAATTGCCCATGAAAAGGACTGTTTTTATATTCGATTGCATTTTACTACAAAAGAGAAACGCTATCTGCGAAGAAGACGATAGAGCAAATATATTCATAACAATGCTATAACATACCTACTCTAACATCTAACTTGTATTTGCTCGTTCTGCATATCCCATTCACTTTTCAGTCATTTACCTGTTACAAAAATCAGATAAGTTACTCGTGCTTCCAAAAAATTAACACTTTTAAAGCCTCTCTAAATTCTCTTTTCCTGGCAGCGTAAATCCACGGATTAATGGCTGAGTTTGAGTAAGCTAAGAAAAGTGCCCAAGTTCCCCAAGATTCAAGTGTTTTCTTCTCCTGACAGGAAGCGCCGTCTTGAGATACAACTTCATTGATGGCAAAGGCCAGGGTTGGTAAGGCCGTTAAATAAAATACGCCAATGACAATAGCAATGGTTATGGAGGCCTTTTTATTGTGCACTTGACTTGCTAAAGCTGAATCGCTTTGCTGGCCGATGGCTCTGGACTGACGAGATGCTTCTTTAAAAATGCAAACATAGCAGTAAGAAATAATTACACCCGGGATAAAAAACACTGCAGAAACAACTATGATCCAGTAAGTATCTTCATGGATTACCAAACGCAGGCAAGCGATGCAACTTGACAGGACCCAAACAGACACAACTGCGCATCGAAAACGTCTTAGGGTGACAATGGCGCTGTATCGTAAAGGAAACATCACTCCAACATATCTTTCTAAGCTGACAGTACACAAATTATATGTTGATGTACCAACGCAAAAAACGTAAACGCAGTCCACAGCAATGCTCAGAGGATGTTCCTCGTCGGCGACCGCTAAGAGTGATCGTGTGATCCAGAGCGGCAGAGCAACGATCCCGACAAAGAAGTCACAGACAGCCAGAGAAGCAAGAAAATAATTTGTAAAAGAGCGTAGAGCCGTTTTCTTGTATACTGCTATGGCTATTAACACGTTTGTAGTACACGCGAAAAAAGAAATAAGCAGGCCCAGGACGGTTGTTAAGAGTACGTTCCACTTTGCTGTTGGAAGTTCATGGCAACCTTCGTCAGCCATCATATGTTCCAAGAGTGGCGTAATTTACATGCTGACTTCCTTTAGTGACAACAATCCCGCAAATATTGAAATACTCTAAAGACACTTCCTCGATTAGAGGAAAACGATGTCGGTTCTATCTTGTTGGCTTCAAACGAGGTGGTTGTTTTAATCGTGCCGATTATCGTAGATTTTAAAATGGGAACTCGAATCTCGCCAATCAGTATTCAATAACGATATAATTTTATCGCTAAACATCAAGTGTTAGCACCTGCACGCGTCAGTAATAAATTAAGGCTCTTTTTACGCATCGATCTAAACAAACCACAAAGTAGTTATTTTAAGAGTCAGTTCGGTAAGCTCAAATTTTAAAAACACCAAACGGATGTGGCACACTTTCAAGTTCTGCTCGTTTGGTACCGCGCTATGATGACTATATACATCATTCTGAACGATTATTCGTTTGTAACGATAATAGGCTATTTTCGGTTCCATATTTCGGCATTGTTCATTTGTAGTTAGGAAGCTTTTTTGTCCCCGGCTGGAAAACTGAAATCGATTTAAGAGTGCTTAATGGTTTTAAGCACGTTTTCAATATTCCCTGGTCTTCGATTAGGTCACGGTCGCTGTTCATTACTTCCCGAAAGATTAGGTTCGTATAAAATGCTTCGCAATGTGTCGTTCTAAAGAAAAGGTTGCATAATATTAGGCTAAATTTTGGACTTCGTTTGAGGTGCGGAAATACTTCAACTTCGTCAAGTAATGAAATATATAAAATAATTGCGACTAAGAATCATGATCAAGCTATGATAATTCGTATAGTGTAATCTTCCGGATGACGGTAGCTCTCAAAAGAACTGTTGTTGATGAATGACGTTTCGAGAACCTGTCTGAGCGAAAGTTCTTTCAGTTATTGTTTTCATTCATTGTGCTATAACTGTGGGTCATTATTGATTGATTAGTTTTATCACATGACACTGACCAATGGTAAATAAAGTTATGTGCTTAATTTTATATTTTTAAATAGTTTTATTTTTCTTTATACTGCTATATATCTCTTGTTTTTCTACTAATAAGAGAGTCCATCTGGAAAAACAGTCAAGAGCCAAGAAGACTCGCCAATAGTATTTTCTCATATCATGTGATTAGCACGAGTGATAAATAAAGGCCTAATTTTCATTGCGATCTATTATTAGTTTAACTCACGCCTGAAACTACTCACACTCCACCTGTACATATGTAAACAAATTAAAAGTTACGTTTCTTTTATCTTTAACTTGATAATGATGTCACGAGATGCCATCGAAACGTTTTTTAGAAGGGTTGCAAAATTGTCTTTTTGTGCCATTAGCAGGGTCACTCTTTTCAATTCCACTTTTTTATAGGGAACGGCACAACTTTGCGGGTGGCGATGGCTTTTTCTCGGAAGATGCTTATTAGGATGAGTAGTCCCGTGAAGGCCAGTGCAGTTAATTTACACAAAGCAATGATATATGAGTAATCGTATGAAATTCTGAGCAATTAAGGATTTACACTACTCGTGATATTTGAAAATTATTTCAAATTGCACTCGCTTATGGAAACAACAATCCTCAAGCAATAATTTTACCCCATCAATAGGCTTTAATAAGTAATATTATTATATGGCTGTGTCTCACAACGACTGGGAACTACCGAATTTACGAACTTGATCGGCTGAAATCGATATATTGACCGCGGTCTAGTTTTTCCCATCTAGACCGGTTTCATTTTGCGCTGAAAAAGTAGCAAACTAAAATACAAAAATTTTCACCATTTTCTTTTAGTTTCTTCTCAATCATTTATGGAAGTGCCAAAAGCTTGATGACAAAAAAAAAAGTAAAGAGGACGACAAATTTCGCCAGGTTTAAGTTAAGCTCATCGCCGTTCGCAAGCAAAATGTCAGCAAACCAGTTACATTAAAAAAAAAATTAAAGTTTTCTTCTTTACCATATAATAAACATCTTATTAACTGAGCTAAGTCGGTCTGTATGGGAGTCGAGCTAAGTCGGTCTGTATGACCTCGGTCGTGTGTACAGACCTCACTGCGTTCGGTCTGTACTCACGACCTCGCTCAAGATTCTTCCATACAGACCTCCTGCTCGGTTAATAAGAGCTAAGTAATTGAACCAAGTGGAGTACAATCCAGGGAGTAATCGGGCGAATAATTTCAAAATCGGACGAGTGCGCAGCGCTGAGCAGATTTGAAATTAAGAGTGTGATTACTCCCTAAATTGTACGACACGAGTTCCAGTTACTTATGAATCGTATCAATAAGAAATTTCGAAACTAGAAAAACGTCTTTCGAAAACTTCTTTTGAGCGAAAAAGTGAGTTGCACTTTCCATAAGTTTCAAAAGATGTTGGAAAAATTTGGAAAGTACGTCTAATTCACATGCCAACGTTCAAGGTATCCAATTGGCCAATTTTGATATACCGCAAAATTAATCCTCGAATTAGCGCTCCCCCTCGAATAAACGCCCCCCTCGAATAAACGCCCCCCTCCCCTCACCCCCTTTTGTGGACGAGAAATGAGACAACAAAGGATGTATCGTTTTCTCGTGTAGTATTGGATTTGTACATTGTTTCAGTTTGTGAACACGTTGAGTTTCTAGTACTAACGGTGCCGCGATTTAAACTTTAGGATCAACTTTTTGTGTCGATAACCAGCTTTATTATATATCTCAGTTAGTACGCGCGCTGTGATTGGTCAATTTAGCGGTCCGTATTCTACTGTACAGCCCGCTAAAATTTAAAGCCGTTATTGTTTCCAAAATGTTTCGTGATTTATCGCCAAGTTTACTCAACTTTTTTAGCAAGTAAAAGTTTAAAACTCTTTTATTTCTGAAATTGTATATTAAAACCTGCTAACGACGTAAGAGTCACTTATCAACGATTTCAAATTGACTCGTTTTGCTTTTGAGGTGCGTCAGAAATTTGAAGCCACTCCGCGTGAGTAGAAGTCGTTCCCGAACCCGTCAGACACACGGTAGAGATCTAATGAATATGTTACTAACCTCGTTTTCTTTTTCTTTTTTTCTTTTTTTCTTTTTTTTCATCGGAAGATCCATGTACTTTGCAATACTGACGTTACCTACAATGCTAACATGATTTACATCACTAACATTAGTTACAATAGTAATATATATATTTTTTAAAAGAATTACTACATAGCATATATAACGTTACAAATACAAAATACTACCTTTAAAAGCTTACAATTTGCAACACAGAACTAACATCGACTTGTCACTTGTTTTCTTGGTCCGTACTGTAAGTTACGTAACCTCGATTTTCCCCTTCGATTTGTTCCATAAATCGATAGGGAAAAAACTCGGTCCGTCACTTAAAGTACGGCCCGCGAACTCAGTTAGTAAGAAGTATTTATGCTATTGTTTACACGCAGATAGTGTATTAAAAAAATGATCATGTCAGGCCACGATTTGGAAAAAAATAAAAAAGCGCCCCCCTCGAATAAGCGTGCCCCATCTTCTCCTAAATTGAAATAAGCGCCCGGGCGCTAATTCGAGGATTTACGGTATTTAAATTCTAACATGGCTCCGAGGCTTTGGGGAATAAAAAAAGACAAACAAAAAATCTCGTCGAGATTGAGGGATGAATAATTGATGCCTTTTGTTTTATTCCGCTAAGCCTCGTTCCAAGTTAGAATTTCAATATGTCGAAATTTGCCTATTACAGGTATCCAATTAATTACAACAAGTTGTAATTATTTAACAAATAAAGAAGCCTCGACTGTGCTCTGTTCTGTTGTAAAGCACGCAGGAAGCGGTAGAGCACGGAAGAAGAGTACGGGAAAACACGAGACGAAGTCGAGTGTTTTTCCCCACTTCTTGAGTGCTCTACCGCTTCCTACGTACTTTACAACAGAACAGAGCACAGTCGAGGCTTCTTTATTTGTTTTATGATAAAGAATCCAATAATTTCCCCACGCATTCGGCTGAATTTTCAAACCAAACTTTATTTTCCAAAGGAGTAAAAGTGGCGTCAGCCGTGCTCTGTTCTCTGATAAAGAACGCTAAAATAAGCCAGTCACAATCCTTGTCAGAATTGTTCAAATAATTTGATTGGCTAACGAAGCGAGAGATGTCAATCCCAAACTGGACTTCACCTAAGCTTTCAGTTTTCAGTAGTCTTGAGCGGCTTTCGAGAGAAGAACGATGCCTTCAAACTTCGCTTTTTAGTTAATTTTCAAATAAGAATCTAAAGGCAGGCAAGGTTTGTAGTCAATAGGAGTCCGGCCGTATTGTGGCTTATGAAAACGTGCACTTTTCCAATGGAAATTACGAAACCAGGAGCTCAAAGCTTGGGACGAAAATGCGAAATGCTGAGTTGAATTTGAAAGGAGCTACAGTTATTTGAGCTTACGGCCTGCAACCGCTTGCAGCAAGATTGCCCGAACTTAGGCTAGCGTAAAAGTTAGACAGACTAAACTGCTCCCACTGGTTCTACTCCGACCACAGAGGAGAATATCTAGCAGTCAAGCTTTGAGCTGACCACTCGTCGGTTCACTTCGCTGAAATGACTGGAGAACGAGCGTTTCTACACTGCATGTAAGTGTAGTTTTGAGCAATTGAGCATTTTTACAAAAATAAAGCTTCTCATCATAAACAGAGACAGCTCAATTGTTGTTTTCTGTCGTTGTTTTACTTTTCAAATATAATTTCCGCCTTCGTAACAAATATAATGTCTTTTATCGAAGCACTGTTTAGGTTGAGAATTTGTTTATTTCG